AGCCACTAAATAAACTAAATGAAGAAAAAAATCTAAGCTAGAAATAAAAGAAAAAAGATCATCAAATATCGGAGGGAAAAAAGAGAAGCTACAACAATTTACAGTTGCGCATTTAACCATGTTTAATGCAATTTAGCCACAAAACACTTAATTATACATTAATGCAAAACAAAACAAACCAAACAATGAACTACTAGAGGATGTTACAATTTCTTTTTTTTTAAAAAAAAAAAAAAAAAACAAAACTTTTATCTTTACTTTAAGCCCCCTTGTGCAAAGTGTTTGTGTCAGTTAGTCAGTCCATCAGAGTCTGTCAGGTTTTTTTTCATATTTTATTCTAAAGGGTCTAAAACAAAAGAATTCTTAGTTATTTTCAGATTAACATTAATTTTCACATTAGTTGGGGGGAAAGAAGAAAATCATAACATTTTATTGTGCCATGAGATTGTTTGAATCTTCTTAGTTTATAAAGTAGTTATAAATTAATTTTATCTTATCTTTATGTATTTTTCTTTTATTAAACTTTAGTGTTTTCTGTGTTTTTCTTTTACATCATTTACTAATATGATTTTACATAATTTATTGTTGTTGTTGTGTTTGGGTTAGAGGAGCAGAGCTGGTTGGGTTATAAAGTTTAAAGGAAATTTATGTTGTTAAGTAAAGTGTACAGTGGACAAAAAAGGAAAATTAAATAAATTATACAACTTTTTTCTAAGAAATAAAATTTTTACAAAAATTTTCTAGTCTAAATTCAAGTTTAACGTCTAGTCTAAAGCCTAGTCTAAGAACTAGTCTATGAAATAGTCTAAAAACTAGTTTAAAGATTAGAGTATAGTCTAAAGTCTAGCATAAAATCTAGTCTAAATTCTAGTCTATAGTCTAGTCTAAAGTCTAGTCCAATGTATAGTTTAACGTCTAGTCTAAGAACTACTTTAAAGTCTAGTATAAAAACTAGTCTAGTCTAAAATCTAGTCGAAATTCTAGTCTAGAATCTAGTCTTAAGCCTAGTCCAAGAACTAGTCTAAAGTATAGCCTCTAAAATAGCCTTAAAACTAGTCTAAATCTAGTTTAATGTCTAATCTAAGAACTAGTCTGATCTAAAGTCCAGTCTCAAATCTAGTCTATAGTCTAGTCTATAGTCTAGTCTATAGTCTAGTCTATAGTCTAGTCTATAGTCTAGTCTATAGTCTAGTCTATAGTCTAGTCTATAGTCTAGTCTATAGTCTAGTCTATAGTCTAGTCTATAGTCTAGTCTATAGTCTAGTCTATAGTCTAGTCTATAGTCTAGTCTATAGTCTAGTCTATAGTCTAGTCTAGTCTAGTCTAGTCTAGTCTATAGTCTAGTCTATAGTCTAGTCTATAGTCTAGTCTATAGTCTAGTCTATAGTCTAGTCTATAGTCTAGTCTATAGTCTAGTCTATAGTCTAGTCTATAGTCTAGTCTATAGTCTAGTCTATAGTCTAGTCTAGTCTATAGTTTAGTCTATAGTCCAGTCGATAGTCTTGCCTATAGTGTTCAGTCCCGACTATAATCTGTCTCATAGCTTTTAATTATGTCTTAAAAGTGTGATACCTATAATTCCTTTTGTCTACCTCTGAAACCACTGTATTTGAAGTCAACGAGAAAAAAAAACATTTCTTCTTGATCCAATGAAGAATTGGCATACTTCATGATTACCAAAGCATTTAATATGAACTAAATCATTTACACTTTGATTACATTTTCTTTTAAATACAACAAAACAAAAGTTAAAAACATTTTGTGGTAGATTTTCTTAACACAAAACCGAACTAAACCCAACCAACCATCATCCTTAGCTCATTCATTCATTCATTCATTTAATCAGTTAGTCAGTGAGTTTATTTTTATACGTTGATTCATACATTTATTCATTGAGCTAAAGTTCGTAAATATGTACGTATGTTTGTATCTGTAGCTATTTACTTAATTTGGTTTTCTTAGCGTGCCGGTTTAATGTCTTAAAGAAAACATTTAACCACATTTTGCGGAAATGTTTTACAGTTTAGTTTTTTTTTCTCTTGCTGTTTTGTATTTTACATTTTTGTTTTTACAATTCTTCTCATTTTAAATATCGTTTTAATTTTCATTAAACATTTATTTTAACTTTAGTTTTCTGGGCTAAATTAACTAAGTCTCATACATTTTTATATAAATGTTTTTATATCTCTGTGTAAGTAGTTTAGTAATGACTGACGTTGTTGTTTAGCGGAAAATAAATCAAATCTTCAATTTCCTTATTAAGTGTTTGTTTTGTTTTTTTACATTTAACTGCAGTAAACCATAAATTAAAAAAAAGTAGTGCTTACTTACTAGTTGTAGTGTTGCTTTTTATAATGTATTTTTATTAAGTTTTGTATTAAGTTTTCAAATCATTTGTTAGTTACTAATTGTTTTAATAATTATAGAACTATTTGCAAAATGATCATATAAATAATAGAGAGAAAAAAGTTTGTTGCTTAAGTCTTTCGTTTTATATAGGAGGGTTTTAGATGTAGTTTGTGATTTAGTTAAATTAATACGTTTAATTATTGTAAATTTAATGGGGGTTAATGTTAAAAATGTGTTTAAGGTGTAAATTTCTGATATTTGTTATACATTTTTAAAAAATTTATCATAGTTTTATGAGAACTTACAACAGACAAATAAAGCAAATATCTTTTGACGTAAATGTAAGGTTTTTCCCCCAAATTAGGGCGTTAATTTGTCGATAAATTTGCATTCTATAGATAAAGTTCGTTTTCTAATTCTTTTGTTTTTATTTGCTTTTATAGCAGAAATCTTTCGATCTAAACTGTAGATCAAGTTTATTTTCTAAGTCTTTTGTTTTTTATTTGCATTCAAAGCAGAAATCTTTCTTTGAAGTGTAAGACCTCTCCTCTTTCTGTAGATCAAGTTCGTTTTCTAAGTCTTTTGTTTTCACCTTCAAAGTTAACATCTTTCGTTTTTAAAGGAAAGGAATCTATCCCAATCAGATAAAGCAAAATCTTTCGATGTAAAGTGTAAGGTTTTTCTCCTAAATCAGTGCGAAAATTTGTCCATACATTAGCATTCTGAAGATCAAGTTGGTTTTCTAAGTCTTTTGTTTTTATTTCCTCTCAAAGCAAAAATCTTTCGATTTAAATTGAAAGATTTCTCCCACTCTGTAGATCAAGTTCGTTTTCTAAGTCTTTCGTTTTTATTCACCTTCAAAATAGACATGATTGATCTAAATCAGATAAAGCAACCAAGTCAGTCCGGAAATTTTTCCATAAATTTGCACTCTGTGGATCAAGTACATTTTCTAAGTCTTTGGTTTTTATTTGCTTTTAAAGCAGAAATCTTTCGATCTAAAATGTAAGACCTCGCCCCATTCTCTAAATCAAGTTCGTTTTCTAAGTCTTTTGTTTTAATTTGCAACCAAAGCAGAATATTTTCGACCCGAATCAGAAAAAGCAGAAATCTTTAGATCTAAAGATCAAGTTTGTTTTCAAAGTATTTTGTTTTTATTTGATTTCAAAGCAGAAATCTTTCGATCTAAAATATAAGACCTCTGCCCCAATCATCCATAAATTTTGCATTCTGCACATCAAGTTTGTTTTCTAAGTCTTTTGTTTTTATTTACTTTCAAAGCAGAAATCATTTGATCTAAAAGGTAAGACCTCTCCCCCATTTAAAGCGCCAATTTGTCCATAAATTTGCATTCAATAAAACAAGTTCGTTTCCTAAGTCTTTTGTTTTAAAGACAAATTCAAATCAAGCGGCTCTAAAGAATCTTAAATAGCAATTAGTTCCTCGTTGCTACTTATTTCTCTGTTTAATTTTTTTTGCATAAACTTGTTAATAATTTTAAATTATTACTTAATAAATCTTTTAATTTCGTAATTAAATTAATAAATACATTAAATGGAATTAAAATGTCATGGATAATCGAATAATAAAAAACAAGTAATATAATAATTATATGACGTTTTATTAAATGCTTATGTTTTATTAAATGATAATTACGCAAGCATTTATTGAAAATATACGATTGGAAAAAATTATTGGTAAACTATTGAAATAAACTATTTCACTACGAAATGAAACAGTTTAAAGAGAGGAATTTGCAATTAGAAACAATAAAGATATCACATGCTAATAGTCACCATATGACCGCGAAACGACTCTATAGAAGGTATCATCAGACAAAGACCAAAAAGCCTAATAACTTCAAAAAGCTCTTATGAAAGAGCTTTATACCGATACTAGCTCTATGCGGAGTTATATATAGAGGAAAACAGAGAGGAATTTTCAATTAGAAACAATAAAGATAAAACATCCTCATCATCAGCATATGACAGCGAAACGACTCTATAGAAGTTTCCGTCAGAAAAAGTCAAAAAATACCTATAACTCCCAAAAACTTTAAGAGCCAGCTCTTTACCTATATCAGCTCTATACAGAGTTATAGCTTATTTTTAAGTCGTCTTGAACCGTTAGCTTTTTAATTGTTTTTCTTTGATAATTTTTACGCAAATCTCTATAATTATTAATTCAATATAAGAGTATTATAAAAGTAACATGAATATGCATGCAAAAATAATTTTAATTAATTGCACATAAATATGACACAAAAAATTTACGCATCATTTCACTCTATGGAAAAAAACTAAAGAGAGAAAAAAGAAATATTTAAAATGTGGACAAGCCAGTTGTAGTAAAGCCAGGCAAGACTACTTCGAACAACTTTGCAAACATTTAAAGATTTAAATTGCAACAAAAAAAGCAAAAATAATAATACCATGCGAGCAAGAAAATTTTTAAACTAAAACAAGAAAATACATTGAAAAACAGGCGAATAATAAAACCACAAAACAAACCATAAATGATCATGACAGAAATCTGCAACAGCTATGAAGATGAAAAAAAAAAACTAACTTTTATACAAAACACAAAATATCCGCTTAAAAAAAGAGTGTTATTTTAACAGCAAATATTTTTCTCTGATTTAAATTTTGCAGGTGCCAAAGATGATGATGGTCACAGCATTAAAAGTAGTGACAATCTAATGGGTTTATCGAAGAAACAACGCAAGGCACGAACTGCCTTCACCGATCATCAATTGCAGACATTGGAAAAATCATTTGAACGTCAAAAATATTTGAGCGTACAGGATCGTATGGAATTGGCGAATAAATTGGAATTGAGTGATTGTCAAGTCAAGACATGGTATCAAAATCGAAGGTATGTAACAAATAAGGGGATTATGTAGAGATAGAGGGGTGAAAAAGAATATTAATTTAGGTAGAAGTGTTGAAATGTAACAACATTTCAGTTTTAATTATGTTGCAAAAGCTATAAAGATTAAAAAGGAAGATGACAACTTAAAGCCAGTTTTTTCCTTAATACAAATATTTAACTTATTTTTAATAAAATTCTTTAAATATGTTGATTCCTTCGTTATTTTAACAAATTATGATTATAAACTATTTTAACTAAATCTAACATATTTATTTCTAGTTCAATCATAATCTTATTACATTTTTCGTTTAACATCATGTTTGTGTCTTAAATCTATTGTTTTTTAAATCACATCAAAAATAATATTTTATGTGTTTTTATGTTGAGCCATAAAAATGTTTGGCTATAAAATTTTCGCCCATTAAAAATATCTGTTTATTTGAAAACATTCAAAAAGTTAATTAAGTTATTTAATTTGCATTATGATCCAGTTTTTTTTAAATGTTTATAATGTTTCTTTGTTTTAATTATATGGAAAAATAATCTATAAATATTTATTTTTAACTGGTATCATTTGTTTAATGTAGCAACTTTTTCCGATTTTATAATCTCGTCTCTTTAAATGCACATTAATATTTAAAGAAAAATTATAGCATTTTAATTACTCTAAACTTTAAAAATGTCACACAGGTAGTGAAAGTAAATGAAGGATTTTAAATAGAATTTAAAATTACAAGAAAAACTAAAACTGAACTAGAACTGAACTGGAACTAAACTAGAACTGAACTAAACTAGAATTGAACTAGAACTGAACTAGAATTGAACTAGAACTGAACTAGAACTGAACTAGAATTGAACTAGAACTGAACTAGGACTGAACTAAAACTGAACTAGAACTGAACTAGAACTAGAACTGAACTAGAACTACTAGAACTGAACTAGAACTGAACTAGAACTGAACTAGAACTGAACTAGAACTGAACTAGAACTGAACTAGAACTGAACTAGAACTGAACTAGAACTGAACTAGAACTGAACTAGAACTGAACTAGAACTGAACTAGAACTGAACTAGAACTGAACTAGAACTGAACTAGAACTGAACTAGAACTGAACTAGAACTGAACTAGAACTGAACTAGAACTGAACTAGAACTGAACTAGAACTGAACTAGAACTGAACTAGAACTGAACTAGAACTGAACTAGAACTGAACTAGAACTGAACTAGAACTGAACTAGAACTGAACTAGAACTGAACTAGAACTGAACTAGAACTGAACTAGAACTGAACTAGAACTGAACTAGAACTGAACTAGAACTGAACTAGAACTGAACTAGAACTGAACTAGAACTGAACTAGAACTGAACTAGAACTGAACTAGAACTGAACTAGAACTGAACTAGAACTGAACTAGAACTGAACTAGAACTGAACTAGAACTGAACTAGAACTGAACTAGAACTGAACTAGAACTGAACTAGAACTGAACTAGAACTGAACTAGAACTGAACTAGAACTGAACTAGAACTGAACTAGAACTGAACTAGAAACAGAACGAACTAGAACTGAACTAAAAAAAAAACTAGAACTGAACTAGAACTGAACTAGAACTGAACTAGAACTGAACTAGAACTGAACTAGAACTGAACTAGAACTGAACTAGAACTGAACTAGAACTGAACTAGAACTGAACTAGAACTGAACTAGAACTGAACTAGAACTGAACTAGAACTGAACTAGAACTGAACTAGAACTGAACTAGAACTGAACTAGAACTGAACTAGAACTGAACTAGAACTGAACTAGAACTGAACTAGAACTGAACTAGAACTGAACTAGAACTGAACTAGAACTGAACTAGAACTGAACTAGAACTGAACTAGAACTGAACTAGAACTGAACTAGAACTGAACTAGAACTGAACTAGAACTGAACTAGAACTGAACTAGAACTGAACTAGAACTGAACTAGAACTGAACTAGAACTGAACTAGAACTGAACTAGAACTGAACTAGAACTGAACTAGAACTGAACTAGAACTGAACTAGAACTGAACTAGAACTGAACTAGAACTGAACTAGAACTGAACTAGAACTGAACTAGAACTGAACTAGAACTGAACTAGAACTGAACTAGAACTGAACTAGAACTGAACTAGAACTGAACTAGAACTGAACTAGACTGAACTAGAACTGAAGTAGAACTGAACTAGAACTGAACTAGAACTGAACTAGAACTGAACTAGAACTGAACTAGAACTGAACTAGAACTGAACTAGAACTGAACTAGAACTGAACTAGAACTGAACTAGAACTGAACTAGAACTGAACTAGAACTGAACTAGAACTGAACTAGAACTGAACTAGAACTGAACTAGAACTGAACTAGAACTGAACTAGAACTGAACTAGAACTGAACTAGAACTGAACTAGAACTGAACTAGAACTGAACTAGAACTGAACTAGAACTGAACTAGAACTGAACTAGAACTGAACTAGAACTGAACTAGAACTGAACTAGAACTGAACTAGAACAGAACTAGAACTAGATAGAATTAAGATTCTCTGGACAAAGAATGGAGTCATACTCCACTAATACAAATCAACTAAAAAAATTCTTAAGATTCCTTCCTTCTATTAACATTTTTCCCACCTTCACTCTCCAATTTCTAAATAGAATGTTGAAATTCTAATCAAATTTGTTACAGCACATTTTGTGAGTAGTAAAAAAAACTTATTCAAATTGATTATGAATAAATGTAGTAAATTACATTTTACAAAGAAAATAAGCACAATCATTACGAACTGCCACCACCCTTGAGGCAACTAACACAACAAAAACAATTCAAATAGTGACAATTGCCACAAAACGCAGTTTCTGAACAGAGACACACACTTTAAAATTCGTTTTGGTTTTTCAAAACGGTTTTTTAATAAAGAAATTCGTTATGGGACTTTTTTATTATTTGAAAATAGATAAAACGGAAATATTCAAAAGAAATTTACATCATTAAGTATAAAAAGTGACAGGCGCTGCTTAAACACATTTGGCCACTGTGGCAATTTAAATACAAAAAAAACAATGTTTTTTGGCTGTTAGAGCAGCATCAGTTTAGTTCATTTGAAGCTAATGCACAAGTCAATGCAGTAATTTTTCAATCATTAATCATTAAAAAGAGAAACGAGTAGTATATTGTATGCGTCTTTATAAAAAACAACAACCAAATGACTGAAATTTAAGTTACTTTTTTTAGAAGCAAATTTTGAGAACCAGGTAAATTTTGTAAAGTCATTGATGGAAGTTAATATTCTCCTTTTTTTAAGCTTAAAGTAGAATATTTTCTTGAAGTGTGTTTTTGTTTTTATTTGTCAGTTAATTGTTTTGTTAAACGCCTACTGGCATTTTATTGTCTCTAAATGCTGTTGCATTGTTTATTGCTGTAGACGGTCGAGTAGGACTACTACCGCCACATTGAGGCTGTGCCTAAAGTTGCAAGTATTTTATATGTTCAACAAATGTCCTGCTGCTACTTTGTGAATCGCCTTTTTTGTGTGCTGTTGGTTTGTGGCATGCTGTGTCTTTTTTGCTGCAGTTTCTTTTCTTATAAATTTTACTACATAATTGGTTGGTTGTATCTTTTCTTTCCAATTTGTTTAGAGTTTTTAGTTAATCCTATTAACTTGTTGCTGAAGTAATAGCAGTGATATTTGCAAAATAATCAAACTATTTGAAGGCTTAGTTTTAGGGTTAATGATAATCTGGCAAAAAAAAATTTGTTTATAAGCAAATTTATTTTTTCTAACTCTTGCTGATTTTAAGATAATTTAGTTTAATTTTAACAGGCGCCTAAATTTCATTAACTAGGCGACTGTCTCTAAATAGAAACCTGTCTAGTAGTTTTAATTATTTTTATTTATTTATTTTTTTTGAGTTGAAGAAGAAATTTTTTTGTTTGACAATATTTTAATATTTAAATTAAAAATATAATTAAAATTCCTTATTGTGCTATCTTGTGTTAATTTGTTAAAATGTGTATTTTTTTAATTAATCAAAATATATAAACAAAAATTAATTTAAATCAAAATATCAGGGTGTTTTGCATTTCAATGTTTAAGAAAAAAAAACAAAAGATTTAAGACACAAACTTGTTTATTTTTTTCGAAGTAACAAAATACGCAATAAATCTTGTTTGATTTAATAAATTGAAACATTTTAACCCTTTAAAGAAACAAATTTGTAAAATTTTAAAGCAGAAGAGTGGGTGTTGAGTTATTTAAAGTGACAAATGTTTAGTTTTTGGGGGGAAAACATTAATAAAACTATGATAATTTATAAATACCTTTAGTTTCATATATTTCATATCGTTTCGGTATCTTACCTGCAATAAAGAAAAAAAAAAAAATTATAAATACATAAAGAATTGAAAATTGAAATCGAGAGAATATATCAAATTTTTCTATATTTAGTTTAGTATCAAATTAATTATAATTTTTTCTTATTTTCAATTTTCAGAACCAAATGGAAACGGCAAACAGCTGTGGGCCTAGAACTTCTAGCCGAAGCTGGCAACTATGCTGCCTTTCAACGTCTCTATGGTGGTGGCTCACCCTATCTAACATCTTGGCCCTATGGACACCCTCAAGCTTCACCCCACATATCACCCAGTTCACCCATAGATCTCTACTACAGACAAGCGGCAGCAGCAGCTGTACTGCAGAAACCTCTTTCCTATCGCATGTATCCTTCCATACCACCCATGCCAGCATCAGGATTGTCTACAATGCCAGTAGCACCCACACCCATGTCGCATCTAAGTGCTTCCAATTCTTTATCTTCGTTAAGTAACTATTATCAAACGGCTACACAAGCGTTTGGTTCCACAAATTCACCCTCCACCAATTCTAGTCTTCACAATAAAAGTCCCACACGTAGTGAGGATAATGATGTCGATGAAAATCGTAAAAGTGTTGAAATTATAGATCGTTCATCTAGTCCGCAATTGAATCCGGGCAGTCCGCCAGAACGTTTAGAGAATAAAACGAATACAATAGCAGCAGCAGCAGCGGCAGTGAACGTTTTAGAACACAGCGATAATGAGGCTGATGATGAAGATGATGCTATAGAAGTTTGAGTTGATGACCCTGATAGTAATAACGACAAATACCTACACAATGACAACTATGATGATGAAGAAGATGATGAACCTGTATTTAAGAAACACCTAATATTGAAAAAGCACCGTGACATAAAATATTTATGGGGCGTTGAAAAGGGTTCTTCAGCAATTGCTATAGTTAAGGTGGGTTCTATTAAAAGCTGTTCTTTAGAACAATTTTTAATTTATTTTTTAATTTCCAGAACCCTCAGCTTTTTAGCTGTTAATTGATTGCTCTCAGTGCCTTGTTGTGTGTTAAATTTGGCAGAGTTGTTGTGTAAAATGAAAAGGGAAACTTCGAAGTTTTAAACCAAAGATACCAGAATCGTTTTAAAGGTGGGTACTATTTAAAACATGAAAGTATGAAATAAAATATTTATGAAAATATTTTTTTATTTGGGATTGTTTCTAATATTTTGATTTAATTAATTAAAATAATTTTTATTCTTTTTATTTTACAGATTTTGGTCTTATTCCAGTGGCTATGGATCTCATTATTGTTTTTAATACTTAATATAAAATTTGTAAATATATACTAAAAAATCAGTGTTAATTTTAAATAAAATTGAAAAATAATTTATAAACTAAAAAGCTTTTTTAATAATATATGCGAAGAAAAAAGGTAAATTGCTTTTTAATTATGATTTATCTAAATCAAAAGTTAATATTAACAATTGGAAGTAAGTTGAGAGAAACTTTGTTAATTTTTGTGCCAATTTATAATTTTTGGACTGATTATTACGATTTTTTACTAATTTTTAACAGAAATATGATTTTTCACTAAAAATATGATTTTTCACTAAAAATTAAATTTTTCACTAAAATTAAATTTTTTACTAAAAATAAAATTTTTCACCTGTTCTAGTTCAGTTCTAGTTCAGTTCTAGTTCAGTTCTAGTTCAGTTCTAGTTCAGTTCTAGTTCAGTTCTAGTTCAGTTCTAGTTCAGTTCTAGTTCAGTTCTAGTTCAGTTCTAGTTCAGTTCTAGTTCAGTTCTAGTTCAGTTCTAGTTCAGTTCTAGTTCAGTTCTAGTTCAGTTCTAGTTCAGTTCTAGTTCAGTTCTAGTTCAGTTCTAGTTCAGTTCTAGTTTAGTTCTAGTCAGTTCTAGTTCAGTTCTAGTTCAGTTCTAGTTCAGTTCTAGTTCAGTTCTAGTTCAGTTCTAGTTCAGTTCTAGTTCAGTTCTAGTTCAGTTCTAGTTCAGTTCTAGTTCAGTTCTAGTTCAGTTCTAGTTCAGTTCTAGTTCAGTTCTAGTTCAGTTCTAGTCAGTTCTAGTTAGTTCAGTTCTAGTTCAGTTCTAGTTCAGTTCTAGTTCAGTTCTAGTTCAGTTCTAGTTAAGTTCTAGTTCAGTTCTAGTTCAGTTCTAGTTCAGTTCTAGTTCAGTTCTAGTTCAGTTCTAGTTCAGTTCTAGTTCAGTTCTAGTTCAGTTCTAGTTCAGTTCTAGTTCAGATCTAGTTCAGTTCTAGTTTAGTTCTAGTTCAGTTCTAGTTCAGTTCTAGTTCAGTTCTAGTTAAGTTCTAGTTCAGTTCTAATTCAGTTCTACTTAGTTCAGTTCTAGTTGAGTACTAGGTTATATTGCCCCTTTTAAAGTCAAGTATTTTTGATCATTTTTGGGACCCTAATAGAATCCTCAGTTCTAGTTCAGTTCTAGTTCTAGTTCAGTTCTAGTTCAGTTCTAGTTCAGTTCTAGTTCAGTTCTAGTTCAGTTCTAGTTCAGTTCTAGTTCAGTTCTAGTTCAGTTCTAGTTCAGTTCTAGTTCAGTTCTAGTTCAGTTCTAGTTCTAGTTCAGTTCTAGTTCAGTTCTAGTTCAGTTCTAGTTCAGTTCTAGTTCAGTTCTAGTTCAGTTCTAGTTCAGTTCTAGTTCAGTTCTAGTTCAGTTCTAGTTCAGTTCTAGTTCAGTTCTAGTTCAGTTCTAGTTCAGTTCTAGTTCAGTTCTAGTTCAGTTCTAGTTCAGTTCTAGTTCAGTTCTAGTTCAGTTCTAGTTCAGTTCTAGTTCAGTTCTAGTTCAGTTCTAGTTCAGTTCTAGTTCAGTTCTAGTTCAGTTCTAGTTCAGTTCTAGTTCAGTTCTAGTTCAGTTTTAGTTCAGTTCTAGTTCAGTTCTAGTTCAGTTCTAGTTCAGATCTAGTTCAGTTCTAGTTTAGTTCTAGTTCAGTTCTAGTTCAGTTCTAGTTCAGTTCTAGTTCAGTTCTAGTTAAGTTCTAGTTAAGTTCTAGTTCAGTTCTAGTTCAGTTCTAGTTCAGTTCTAATTCAGTTCTACTTAGTTCAGTTCTAGTTGAGTACTAGGTTATATTGCCCCTTTTAAAGTCAAGTATTTTTGATCATTTTTGGGACCCTAAATAAAATCCTTTCAACAACAGAATGACGGACATCGTCCTGTCAATATTCCTTTTTTCGTAACACTTTTATTAACATAATTCAATGGAAAAAATTACTACAGAAAATCTCTTAAAGTATGAAGTAAGAAGTCTTTGACGAATTTTATATGTATACCCTTCTCCATAGTGTGTTTAAAAAAAGATTAATTTTATTTTAGCAATAGCAAAAACAAACAACAACAACAAGATCGCTAAACGAATCAAAAAAAAAAAAAAAAAAAAAAACAAATTCCACAAAGCAAAGAAACCAAAACGCACCCAAACATACGTTTTTATTCCAATTAGCACTGTTGTTTTTGCTTTTTTATCAAAGCATACAAAAACTAGTCTTTTTTGATGAAATTTTAGAGGTTGTCTGGGATTTTTGTATGGAAGAATTTTACTGATTGTAAATAGGAAACTTCTGGAAATTATGTCTGACAGTATTATTGAAAAGATTTGGATCTCGAAGCTAAAAAAGGACAGACAGACAAACGGACAGACAGTTGGGCATGGCTTAATCGACTCGCTATCTATAAGCATCCAGATTATATGTATATATTTATAGGGTCGAAATATTATATTATAGAAATTACAAATGGAATCACAAACTTATACATACATACATATAAGGTGAAGGGTATAAAAAGTGCGAATGAAGAGAAATGTTTATGTATTAGAAGTAAAATTGTATTCGCAATAGGGGTGATTTACTTCTGGAGGTTTACGACTGACATTTAACTCTACTTCGGAATCATTTCTAACACTTTTACAAAGTCATTAACACACAACAAAAAGGTAAAGATTTTGTATACGTTTTGCAAATTTCTCGTCTGTCAACTGTCATATCATATTTTTTTACTCACATCTTTTAAATTAATTTCTCATGCAATTAAAATTTACGATAATAATCAATTTAAAATAATATTGCAAATTTATTACAACCAAAATTTGGTTAATAAATATACCATTATATTTACGGTTTTTTAATATTTTCATATTTAATAATTTTCGTCATTATATCATCAATATAAATAATTTATTGTTTTCTTTGAATTAAAATAAATTTAATAAATGAATATTTAATAAAGTGGCTTTCATAATTAATAACTTAATACTAATGTCTTTGCTTGCGTTTTGAGGTGAGTAATAAAATTGTTAATTTAATTGATTTAAGAAATTAAAAAAATCTACATTTTGATTGTGACAAAAATTTCATTTCAATCAATTTCCAGACATTGTACCCTTAATTAGTTAATTGTTTTTAAATGACATTTTTTTATTTGTTTTCTGGTTAAAAGTGTTTTGTTTCAAAAATATCTTGTATTTTATGATCTTGTTTTAAAATAAAAATACATAATACAACACTTAGAGTTAACATGATTTGTTTTTTGTTGGTCAAGAGGGGAAAAACCAATAAAATGTTTAAAATTAATTTTAAAATTACTTTTTTAACACAATATTAATCAAAAGGAAAACATAAACGGGGAGTTTTAAACGAATGAAGTTTTAAACGAATTTTAGATACCTTTCGGATGGGCTATTAGCAGCCATTTTTAAATATTAGAAATTTTGATTTAATAATAAAAATTTTTGGAAATTCATTTTTCAAACGATATTTTGTTAAATGTTTTGGTATTTTAAACGTCCGTCTGTCTACTAAAGTTACAGGTTGTAAACAAGATACGGACCGACGGACAGCCATTATTTAGATGAAAACTTTTCCATTAATAAATACTTAGTATACACCTAAATATCAGTAATCTTTATAGCTCACACTTCAGACGTCCTCTACAGAACCAATTCATGCGAAAGAATGAATTGCCTTTTTCCCCCATAATAATCTTGAACTACTTCGCACCTTGATAATCTCCACTTATGTCATACAAATTAGTCTTCTCCGAAAAAAAAACTGATCATAAAAATGACAGTATAAATTTAATTATTACTACATATTTTTTTAATTTAAAGATAAAATGGGAATTGCCATAAACTCTTAACAACAACGAAAAAAAAGTAGAGTATACAAAACTATAAAATGGTATCTTATTAAAAAGCAATTTAAATTAAAACGAGAGTGTGTCCAATAAAAAAAATTTCAGAAAAAAAAAAAATCCGATACCTATAGACAAATTTAACAAAATTTAAACACTTGTCTGCAGAGTTGTTGTTGAAAAAAAAATATATAACAGTCAAAACTATTTAAAATGTTTTAACGCCATTAAAATTAACAAAGAAAATAAAAATGAATAAAGTGTAAAAAAGTGTTAAAACCACTTAAGCATCTTTAAACGTTTTCTTTGTATTTTGTTATTGGTTTTCATTTTCGACTTTGTCTTAAATATCAAACTGTTTTCTTAATTTATCCATAGAATACAAACAGTTGGTAACACATACATATCAGTTATATGTTCTTAAGTATTGGTGTTAGTGTAAATGTATTAACGTTAAACAATTTTTTAATCGTAGTCTCACTTGTAGTCGTTTGTTTTAACGGTGGACCTTTTAAGACACGTGTCTTCATATATCAATGCAATGTATTTGTTCGTATATATTAATGTTGCTGTTTGCTTTAATTTGTTCTCCTAATCGTAAAGATCATTTTTGGAATTTTTATTATGTTTCTTGGTCATTGTTGTAGTTGTTATTTTTGAAATTTTTCTTAATTTTATAAATGACTTTAAAATTGATTTTAAACGTTTCTTGTTGTTGTAGTTGTTGTTTTTTGAATTGCTTATCACTTGCAGGCCGGCTAGGTGACTGACTGACTCGTTTGATCATTGGCTAAGAAGCAGGGTGTTAAAAGAGTTGATTATCTCAAGATATTCTTGAGGCAAAGATATTACTTGTAAGATGCCCTATTGATCACTCTTTGTATTGTTGTAATATCTGGAAGGACTGGGTCAGTGAAATGAAAAAGAGAAGC